CTAGAAAATAGGTATGGTGAGAGATAAATCTTTTGAAGAGGCTTTCCAGCATGACCCCATTTTACCCATTCCTCATTACAAAAATACAAGAAAGTCTGGATGAAGCAGCAGCTGCAGAACTGAAACTACGGTATCTTGTCTATGCTGAGCAAATTAAAAGCCGGTGTAAGAAAATAAAACATACGCACTAATGTAAAACTAAGTGAAATCATCTTTTTTTCCAAATGTCACTTACCTTCTCATACCAACATATACCTTGCAGGCCTACTATGCAGTGTTCCTGAACAGAGGAAGTCTGGATGAAGCAGCAGCTGCAGAACTGAAACTACGGTATCTTGTCTATGCTGAGCAAATTAAAAGCCGGTGTAAGAAAATAAAACATACGCACTAATGTAAAACTAAGTGAAATCATCTTTTTTTCCAAATGTCACTTACCTTCTCATACCAACATATACCTTGCAGGCCTACTATGCAGTGTTCCTGAACAGAGGTCGACTGGAAGTGCATATCTCCACAGGGATACGGGATCCCCACAGAATCACCATCAAACCAGAAGCTGGCGAGTTTCACGACGGCAGAGCCCACTCCATCCGGATAGAACGAGCTAAAGGGTAACAAATACCTAGAAGTGCTACAGACCACACAGCACAGCTAAGTCAACAAAGCAAACGTACCAATGTCTTCAGCAATCCATGTAAAAGCTTCTGCTGAGGCAAAGAATTTACTGTAATTCCATCCTTATCCAAAAATTTTTAGAAGTTAGTTTCTGACAGTGCGTACTGTTCTGCAGAGGTGGGTTCATGTGCCTTGCTAGGCTGTCAGCCTGTTTCTCTAGAGGCCTGCATTTGTCTGAATTGGAATCTTTAACCTTCTGGTTCTTGACAAATGTATTTTATTAATCGAATTTGTGGATAAGAAATACTGCTGTGGTGCGGTAAACCACCTTTTAAAGACATGTAGAAAAAGACCATTTTCAAAGCATATAAACAGCGACAGCACAGCAGCCTGTAGCCTTTTTGAGATGCCATGTGCTGGTGTATATACATGGGCTTATGGTGGTACCCAGGTAAATATGGTAAACCAACGAAGGCACACAGTCCCAGATGAAAAGCAGTCATTCTTAATGCTGGAAAGCCACTGCAGACCTTCTTAGACCGTATTGTTTTAAACAGAATTTCACTTCAATTCTTTGCCCATTCTTAGACATTATATAAATATGCGAATTACTCTTCAGCATTCAGAAAGTGATTAGAAGCAGCACTACTGTAGTGTGTAGGACTCAGGCAGTCAGTATTATTTATGGCCTGGAATACCCCTTGTTCCAAGCAGGGTTTGTTGTGGACACTTGGACATACAAATGTGTACATATTGTACAGACATTCAGTGGATTAGTGCACTAAGCACAATGTTGTTCTGTTTAAAAAAAAAAATCTGAAAGAAGATGTGGCATCCAGCATGTCACAAAATGCACTTATCCAAGCACACTGAACACTATGCTTCGCCCTCTTGCCCCCAGAACACTGCAGCCTTCTTGAGCAACAATTTTTCTCTGTCTAGTCCTGAGGCACCCTTCTGTCCTCTCTATAATTTGCTTTGCTTTGTCCTTTGTCAGTATAATTTTCTGACTGAATTTCTATTGTATTGTTAAAAAAAATCTTGTAAATAATGCCTTCAGACAGTATCTCTCCCCAGTTTCAATCACTATTTTGAGGTAAAACTAAATTCCTTGGGAGGAAAAGTTACTTTGAAAATGGATGACTGCATGTTGTGAAACATTTTATGTCACTGTGACAGAACACAAATATGCAAATAATAATAAGAAGCTCTAAACAACAAAGAAAGTTCTTTTGTGCAGTACTATAGCAAGAACAGTAGCTTGACCTGTGAGAGTACATCAAGACACTATTGTTGTACAATGCCATCCAGTGATGGCGCTTGTTCAGATGAAACCTCTGTTTTCAAAGTAGCTCTGTTACAAAACAGATTGTCTGAACTCCAGTTTCTGTAAGCTGACATGGATGTGAAAAGATAAAAATTAAGACTAACCCCTCCTCTGCTCATTGCAAACTCAAGCTTTATTTGATTAAATATGAGGACACCCTTTGAAAACTCTTCAGAGAGATAATTGTCCATATAATTATGAAGTATTTGCTTTCTCTTCCAAGGTAATTATAGGATACTGTTGAAGACTAATGCACATCATTGTATGGTTCTGTTTGGAGCCAGAATGTTTACTATGGTAATGGCTAACGATGAGATGAAATATTGCATGCTGATGAAAACATTGACAATCAGTAGTCATGGCTACCATGCAGCAGCACAAAGGATAACTCGAGTCTTGACAGTCTGATTTCCCTACCCTTCCTCTGAAGGCAGTGGAGAGAAGTGTCCTCTCTGGGACACTTCACAGAACCTAAATCAGTCTGTTGCTCTCAACTGCCCCCGGAGAAATCTCTTTCCTGTTTCCACTGCTAAAAGGTCTGGGGAAATCCTAGAGATTGCCCCGAAAGACAAGTCTTTTAATATCTGCTTCCTCCAACTCCTTGAAAAATTAATCACTTTCTTACTCTACAGCTGTCTAGACCAAATGAATCCATCCAAAACTATGAGGAACTCGGACGATTTGCATGTGGTACAACAGTTACCTAATTCAGGTGCTTAAGTCACTATGCAGTTTTGTCTAGGACTTGTGTCCATAACAAAGCCAAGCGTTTTACATATGAAAACCAGCCTCTTTTCAATAAACATTTTCAATATTCAGTTGCTAACAGTAATTATTGTTAAGGAAGAATACTGGAGTTCAATACAATTTTGCAGATGAAAATAGGTAGGTTATTTGCCAGAAATGGATCATTTCTGATATGTTGTAAGGATGCTCAGTAACTGTGAAAAATCAAACTACTTACTTAACTTCGGTTTAGGCAACTAACTGTAGTCAGAGATTCTTGAATAGTTACATTGTGATATTTAGCATGACTGTAACATGGCTAACTTTTATTAAATATAGTCCAAAAACATAAAGAAATTATGCCAACTAGCATTCTACTTTCACCTTCAAAAATACTGAAGTCCTCATCCATCCTTCGCAACCCAGCTCACCTTGAGCTGGATTTTTTCAGAACTTGGAGATTTTCTGTGTTTCATCAATGGTAAATTGCCTCAAAGCCAGCAGTTAAATTTTTAACTCTTATTGCTATACCTTGTTATATACGTTACCCATCAAAATAATCCACTGTCTCTCAATTCCACAGCCCTTACATTAACACAGCTTTCTCAGTATACAGAGTGTACGGCTTGGCAAACTAGTGTTTCACTTTCTGTCCCTTTCACCATGTTTCCTTCTAGATGTAGTGCAAACCTGTAACATTTGCATCTCAGTAGCTTTGACAGGCAAGAGCAGCTTTTCTCTCACATTTGGATTCTTGCTTTTATGAGAATAATGCCCTTCACCATATTTACCCCTTTCCTCTTTCTTCTTTTTTCCATTCCTTGCCTTGGCTTGGTCAGCCAGTGGTGCTGTGCTTCAGAGGCTTCTGCCTTCCTCTATTCAACCTTAACAGTATGTTCCACAGGACTGGTTTGTCTCTAACTTGTAGCATGTGCATTACCCATGAGAATGAATTATAGCATTTGTATCAGTACATGGTGCACAACCAGCAATTTTCCTGCTCTTGGCATCCCCCCCAGAAAAAAGCTACCAGCTCTTTTAAAAAGTGTACAGTATGTACCTGCGGTCAATTCTGCAATCAGAGCAGTCTGTAGCAGTGTTTGTCCCCCAGCGAGAAGGTAACAACTCGTACAAACCAGGAAATAGGGAGCCCAAACAAAATGTGACCCCATGCTGTTCCCATCCTGCTGAGCCCTAGATGATTGTATTTACCATCACGGCACAGCAGGCTGGGCCCTCACCACGTCGGTGTTGCCACACCGCAAACTACTTCTTCCTATTCAACCAGTGACTGACATTATTGCCTCTCTGCAGCACGGCTTCGCCAAGCTTTGTCAGACAACTACCACGGAAGCACAGCAGTAGCTGAAAAAATTCTAGTGGTTAATATGCATTTAAAGTGTGCTGCTAATTACATAATTTGGGTTGCTCAGTGTTACAGCTAGTGTAGGAGTAAATGGGGCCTGCAAAGTGGTGATTTCAATACACGCAGTAACCAGAGCAAAATATATATTTCTTTGCTTTCAAATCTTTTTCACAGGATGTTCACTGTTCAAGTAGATGAAGACAAAGGCCAGACTCAGAGATTGCCAACAGACCAGCCCATCTCTGTTAAGAAACTCTTTGTGGGGGGTACTTCTTCTCAGTTTCAGACTGCACCTGTCAGAAACATACCACCATTTGAGGGCTGTATATGGAATCTTGTCATTAATGCCACGTAAGTCTCACTGATGCCAACAAATGTCCAGTTAATGAGGTCTGGTTAACTACCTTGACTGTTGCAAGAAACTTCATTGCTGCAAGGAGTCATACTAACAGCAAATCCTAGAATATGATCTGTTTTCTTAATATGCCCTTCCTTTCTTTTTTGTCTTCAGTATATGCTCCATAGGCTATGCAATTAATGAACTGTTTTACAGACAAGCCAGCACCTGTCTATTTATCCATAAAATCAAAGAAGTGCAACAGTAATGCTGCAGTAAGACTTGCCTCAGTGATAGGTATTTATGGTGTACTATAACACTATTTTAAGTTAAGTTGATTTCCAAGAGTATACAAATTCTGAGAACCACCACGGGAATTAATTTGCTTTGTGGAAAGCGCATACTGCAGGAAGCTGGAAGGAACATTTAAGTAAAAAGAAAGGGAACGGTGAATAAAGTGAAACCTCGATAGAAAGTTCCCATCTAAATCTCTCTTTCATATAATTAGGATCTACCTAAATTAGGGTCTCCTCACCCCACACTCCATCAATGTACATCAGAGGGAAGGACTTCTCCGCAAGGTGACTCAGCCTGCCTGGGCTGGTGAAGCTTGCCAAAGAGCATGTCTGTCTCTCTGCACGGACTGTCGGAAGGAAAGCCAATGTTGACTGTCACCTCTAATTCAAGCATTCCACTTCTGACCTAAAACAAATGGGATGAATCCTGGCTCTTGTGTCCTGTGAAGTGGAATTACCGTGCAGAATATAGCTATTCATTATAAATGGGTAGTAAAAAGGCAGAAAAACTAATAACAGACATCAATTTCTTGTGTGTTCTCAGCCCCATGGACTTTGCTCAACCCGTGTCCTTTGAAAATGCAGATATTGGTCGATGTCCCTCTCTAGAACCAGAGGTTAGGCCACCTGAGGATGAAGATAAGCCAATCCACACAACAGTCCTGATCCAGCCTGAACCAGGCACTAATGGGGAGACAGAAAGACCAAGGACTCCTTCTGCTTCCCCTCCTCCTCCAACACCAGCTCTACCTTCAGCACTTGTAAGTGTCGATCACTTCACTCAGGTAAAGTTTGAAAAATTTCTTTTTCCAGGCAAAATGGAAAAGCTAGCCATCAAGAATAATGAAGTAATTTGCCACAAAAATAGTAAAAATTCAGCATGGTATTGTAAAAGGAACACCTTGCTGCAGGTCAGTAAAACCTGTGGATAATGGAAAACTGGTTGATGTCATTTGCTTGGATTATCACAACAGTAATTTAAAGAATGATACAGCAGCAGAATTCCCTTTGGCTTGCATGCTTAACCCTAAACCCTTGCACTTGAGGATGGAAGCCAAGTAACCTCTGATCAGGGTTGGAAGGGAAATTTTCCTATGGGAAAATCCATGTCATTATGATATTTCTTGTGCTGTGCTCTGAAGCATATGATAGCAGCAATGTCAGTGACATGATGAAGAAACAGGTAAACCAGAGAGGTCTGTTTGATATGGAAATTCCTCCACTGCTATTCTGTAACTTTAGACAGGAGACTTACGAACTTAAGAACTGAAACCCCAGTCACTGCTAAATCGAGGTCAGTTGTTGATGCCAGAAATCTTCAATAGCTAGATAGCAGCTAGCAGACTTCTACAACAAAATTTAAGAAGAAACTTCTGCTGTCACAAGTGTAGTAGTTTTACAAGTTAATGCAACATTTTACTGTCCAGAAAAGATATGTTTAGATATCTGAGTATTAAACTGAACAATATATTCACTGGAAGATATTCTTGGAGGGGGAATCCTTGGCATTTTGTTACACCTGCACACAACCCATAGGTTTATGCAGGATATAGTTCAGTGTAGGTGAGGCTTCCAAACAGTGTGAAAAGACTGCACATTTCCCAGTTAGGGGCCTATTTGCACCACCATAATTTACAATACTGTAATAAGACAGTTTTGAAAAGGTAACAGAATATTTAAGTTCCCTTTATAGACACATATAAAATACAAAAGAGTCAGTAATTCTGACAGTTTCTCCCAGATTGGCTTCATAAGATCTCTTAACCATTCTGGGAGGCACTTCCATGCTGGGTCAGGTTTAGTCTTCTTTCCCATTTCACACCTCCTCACTGACACAACATTACAGAACACTGAGATGTTTGTACTGGATTTTTCTATATGACCCAGAGGTTATCAATTGCATGAAGACAACAAGAAAAAGAAGGTTGTAATTTTCAGTGACTCAACTGGCTGCAAGTCCGTCAGTCACAGACAAAGGAACCTGAATTCATTGCCGTAGTCACTCCCTGTTACCTGACCTGTTTTCAGAATTCACGTCTGGTTTTCCTTGGACATAGGAAGGATTTCTAACAATGTTTTCCTACAAAAAAATAGTACAAGCATTAGGCCAAAACTCCTAACTCAGTAACATTAGTCTTATATTTGAGATTCATGGCCACCTTCATTGACCAGGAACATACGGCATAGCTTTATCTAGAAGGACTTGTCAGGCACTGCTGAAGTCTCCACAGCACACGCAGCCATCTGTGGACCTGGAAAAAGGAGCCTGGGTTTCAAGATTAGCAAGGTCCGTCTTAGTTCCTACCCTGCCACGAGCCCCAGAGACTGTATCGGCCTTGCAATTCTCTAGGGCAGCATTTTTGATTCATTCCCACAAGGTGGAGCAGTTGTAACACGAGGTCCCCGATGCATCTTTCTTTTCGGAGTTGAAGGCGAACTTGCAGTACAGTAGGGCTACCACAGAAAGACAAAGAACCAGGCAACAACAAGGCAAACCGAGTTATCCAGTTGATGCTCGCTGTTGTGAAAGAGTGCAGGCATATTATCCCTCGATCGAGTATTAAAAACAAAATTAAAAAAACCACAGAAGCACAGGAGAGAGCAAGTGCACACTTTCCAAGACTAAGCACTAACTTTTAAATAGCAAAATCGAGAGGTATAGATCTACTCATTAATACCAGAAACTGGTCCCATTGTAACTAGGTGAGTTTTGTATATCACATACCTAGAGCCGTGATAACTTGAAACAGGAGTTCAAAATAAAAATCTAAATAAAAGACCATTACTCCACTTTCTCTCTTCAAAAAAATGAAACCGTTTTAGTATTCTGAAGACTTGAAAGTATTTTAAATAAGACAAGCTTTTGGATAGTTTTTACCTTCATCTAAGTTCTCCAAAGTATTTTTCTGGGGAATGTTGCAACAGAATAAGTAACTACAGCCTAATAATGAGACAGTACTCATATGACAGTTAATTATACAGAGGCTCAGTGTAGAAGGACTGTATATGGAAAATATACAGGAGAAAAACATTATTTTCACATATTAGGCTTAAATAAGGTATCTGTTCTACTTATAGTCCTTTTAGGACCTTTTTTGTCTCCTATTATCCATCTGCATATAAAAGGTGAGGGGAGTTCAATCCCAAATGAAAAAACCCCTCCCCTCCACTAAAGGCAAGTCAAGATCTAGAAGTAGGACAGCTGGGGAACACACTGGTCACCAGTCTGCTGCTGCTGCTTGCAACGAATGCTAAAATGTTTCTCAACACTGGGTAATTGCTGCTTCTGCCTTGTGTTATTCGCTGCTTCCCAGGATTCGCTTGCCACTGAAATGAAGAGCGCCAGCATTACTTCTGCATTTGACTCCATGACGGTATCTTCCACCATTTCTCCATGCATTATGTCATTGTTTTATTAACACTAGTTAATGGACTGTGGGGACTGCTTCAGTGGTGCTCCCTTTTCCCCCTAATTACTTTCTTTGTAATTGCTAATACAGCATTGCTTGTACAGAATGTGTGGCAGTCCACCAGTGGGCTTTTCTGTTCTTCGTTTCCACTGTGATACCTAGCTAGCTTCTTGACTTAGCAGTCGAGTCCCTGACATCTGACAAGACTAAAGTGCAGCTGAAGAGTGTTCAGTCTTGAGGCTCTCGGGTAATATGGGAGATTATTAAGCAACCAGGTTTAAACCCAGGACACTTTAAGGCCATTACTGAAAAAACAAAGCTGGGATATTTTAGTATAGACTGATGATACATGCTTAGTTCACAGTCTCGTGAAGGCTGTAAAGCTGGCTGTCCTTAGATAAAGTGAAAGCAGACACAGGCTTGTGAATAAAACCTGAAAGTTTTTTAAGCATGCCCTATTTATTTTTTTTTTTCCTTTAGTGACATTTCCACATCAACCTAATGAATGTTCACTGTTATCAATCAGTATTTAGCAGTAAATAAGCGGTGTATGCTTGCTATGATTCCAACCATCACGCTGTGTTTAGTGCTCCCCCCCACTCCTTGCCCTTCCTTACAGTCCTCCTGCTGGGACGAATCAAAACTGCAGTGTTTGTTGATGCTGGGGAGCAGCTAAAGTGTCAGGGCCAGACCCTTTACTAACATATACCAGCTTAGGATTCAATTTACTGTCAGAATACCTCATTTTACCATGTAATATGTAAAAGTGTGCCACAGAAAAGTGTGCGTTAGGGTATTTTCCAACTCTTTCCTATTGTTCTAGCACCACAGTTAGTCCCTATCTTCAAATTTTAGCAAGCCCACATGCTATAGAAAGTATTATATACACAGTATTATTAACATAGCTGTTAACCTTCTAGATAAAACTGTAAAGCTAAAAATAATTAGAAACCCAGCATTATGGAAATATGATTATTTTTTTTCTATTTGATGATCACTGGAAGACTGCCGTCACACATTCATAAATTTGTTTGGTCCTGCTGAGTTTTCCCCATGTTTTCCCTCCATTGCACATTGATGGGTATTTGTCATAATGCATGGCATTCTACTGTGTCATATTCAAACCAGAGCATTCATTGTGGAAAACTAATTTTTAGAAGTGCTGTATAATGTTGTGAAGATTTTGTGTGACGTGTGAAAGCGAAAAATATAACACTACTGAAAGACTGAGTGAGAAGGAGAAAGAAATTTCCTCTTAGCGGCTGAAATCTCAGTGCCTGATGAGTCACTCATGACATTTTCAAAACGTTTCACAGAAAGGGCTCTTTGTCAGCAGAGCACTGCACCTTGTGCTTTGCAGGTCCCTGCTGAGTCAGGGCTCAAATAAGAGACTGTCGCCAATCCAAAATGATATCAGCCACAGTGCTTAAAAAAAGAGCTCGCAGCCATCAAAGTTTGTTTTTTCCCCAGCGGTATTGTCCTGATATTGTGTTGTGTTAGATCCTTTGAGTAGTTTCTTCACAATACTCTCAGTGGGAGGCAAAAGCTAGACAAGAGTAGGAGCTGGTAATTACCATGGTCTCGCATTGCCCCAGGCACCCCTATACAAGAGCTTTAGGGCCAGAGATTAAAAAACCTGGTGAAATTAAAAAGCGAAAATTATGCTGGGCAGAAGATATTTTACCTTCCACTGTTGCACCACTTGAAGATTAATAGAAGTGGAACAGACAGGGAGGGGTTTCTTTCTTTATCCCCTGGGTAATGTGTCTACATTAGACAGCTCAGGGAGTTCAGCAGTTGTTACTTCTATCCATCAGTTACTTGGCTTCCCTTATGGTTTATGGAGGCTTTTCGACAGCACCAGGGAAACATTAAACAAAGGTTACAATTGTAAAATGGTATAACAAAGTAAAATGGAGGACTCACTGACAGGTGCAGGATCTGGAACTACTTTTAACTTATTACATTTAAGGTGACGAGATTTCAAGTCGACAGCAAAGCATCCTTTTAAAACTTAAGTCTTGCTTCATTTCTGTAAGAGGGCATCCTACTGTGCAAAGCTCAGTTATGCGAGCCAAGAGTACACTGAGCTGCCTGGAAATCGCTTAAGACTCTTGTAAATGTCCACTGGTGGCATGAGAGCAGCAATGTTCATATATTACTTTTATTTGCTTTTACAGCCAGCTTAATGAGCTCTGCTTTTACACCAAGTTCCTGTCATACTGGTTTATAACTTCAGCCGCTGTGATGCACATCAATATGCTGGAAAACTGCAGGGCCAGTGTCTAGACTAGGTGGAACATTCTGAATCCTGAGTGGCTGGAAGACTTCCAGCATATGCACAGCAGAGATAGATGTAAAACGTGAAATTTGTATGATCGCTGTGTATTTTGCAGGATTCCTGTGCTGCTGACACAGAACCAGCCATTTTGGAAGGTGGCAAGCAATTTGGTCTTTCAAGGAACAGCCACATTGCAGTTGTATTTGATGACACCAAAGTGAAAAACAGGTATATTGTTTATTTCAGCAATGAGTTTTGATGGAATCATGTCAAAATAAATGCCCCTCCTAATATTCTCAAAAGCATCTTCCAAAATTATGGGCATAATCTAACAAAGATCACATCCAATGGCTAATTCATTTCATTATGCAAACATAAAAAGCATTAAAACATGAAATCTAGGCAATGAAGTGCCCACCTAAGTAGCTGTCACAAAAACAGTTTACTTCTTTGTAAAGGTTTGGGTACATACAGATCCCAGACTGCTTTGCAGAAAAACAAACAGAAGAATGGAACCAAGTCATGCAACTGAGTTCATAGGTTGCTTTTTTGGAAGAAAGTTTCATGGTTAATTAACTTGGTAATTTCTTGTAATAAGCAAACCTTTTTTCCCTTTCCTTCAATAGTTAAGATCAAGCTTGCACAGTGAACAGGCAAAATGACATTGCCTTCCCAAAGTATAACAATATATATATACATACCCACTGATAAGCAAAGGAATTTCAGGAGCTACTTATAAAAATACAGCTGTTTTCAATGGATTTGTGAAGCTATAACTTGTTAATTGTTCGTTTTTGCCGTGACAGCACATGATCATTAACGAATGTGCCATGTCACACCACTGAGCGTTTTTGCTGCCTTGTGGTTTTGAAGTCCATCGGCCTCACACTTATTTTTACCTATAAAGATGCTGTGCTGCATATTTTCATGTATGCTAATTTTATAAAACTAGGAAAATAATTAAAAGACATATGTAATCCTACAGTCCTCGGATGTTTTCTTTTCAAATAAGAATCCAGGGATGTCCGTTTTCATGCAATGATGTTTCATGTCTATATTGTCAACTACTTTCAGGAACTGACTTTACAGCTCAGCTTGGGCTAGGTTAGTGATGAGCTGCCAGTACAACCTTAGCATCTAGATAATCTAAATCATTTCTTCACAGGTTCTTTGCTGTAGGGGAGGTTTTTGGCACTACCATTCGGTCCAAGGGGTCAGTGGTTTTCATAAGATAGCAGACGTCCTCAGACACAATACCATTTTCAATTGGGAGAAATCAGAATAACTGTTTTATATCCTGATTGTAAACTCTTCCCTCTGCATCTTTAGAAGTTTTGCAGCCTGTCTTCAGGCAATACAACTCATTAGAAACTCAACATTTGCCAGCTGTCACTACAGCTCGCTCGTCTTTGTGAGCACTATGTGTGTGGATGACGGATAACGCCGCTGGAATTTTACAAGCGCTGGGATTTTCTAGCAAGTACAGCTGCAGCTGAAAATTGTATCTTGAAATTCTGTGCCAAGGTTGCACTTTTGTATTTCCACAGCAAAGGGACTAATGAACACTCACATGTCAGGGATAAGATATGTGTGAAATGCAGTTCTCGTGTAACCAAATTATTTTTCTTAAACCCTGATGGACAAGTAGATTGGGCCACTAAATATAAAGTTTTGTTAGATGAACACAAAAAGGTAAAGCAAATAAATATGGCTACTGTCTGACTCTGAATATCTTTTCCTTTGTTTCTGTTTTTCTGTTTGTTTGGTTTTCAGACTTACAATTGAATTTGAAGTCCGAACAACAGCTGATTCTGGCTTGCTGTTTTACATGGCCCGCATCAACCATGCTGATTTTGCTACAGTTCAGATAAAGAATGGACTGCCTTACTTCAGCTATGATCTGGGGAGTGGAGACACTACCACCACGATTTCCAACAAAATAAATGATGGCCAGTGGCACAAGGTATAATAGTCACTAATGCTAAATTGTTCTTTGCAATGCTAAGAGTGAGCTTTGTTTTGCCTTAAGATACTTGCAAAATGTAGTCTATACAAGCTAAACTACATTTCTGTAGTCTGCAAAATTTGTGCTTTCAGATGCACTGTTGAGTCACGGTATGTTTTCTACTAACAAAACAGTTAGTGCTGTTCTTTGAAATTTGCCCTTCAGGAAACACGTATTTCTGGACATATTTAGAATAAGTAAGGAACTGAAGAAAATGTTCCATCTTGCCTAATAGGGCTCAGGTGAATATCAGCTCATCATGATTGAATACATCATTAAAGTTGGTTGTTCCTTTGTTAATAATGTCACTGTTCATCCATAATGCTAAGAACAAAGAAAAGAAAAAAAAAGACTTAAGTAAATCCTTCCTGCATTATTAATTCAATTCATTAGGGAATAAATATGATCTTCATGGATGTACTTGGCAGCTCCTTCTTTGACTTTATGAGAGAAAGCATTTATATACAGTGCCTATGGCTTTCAGACAGTAAGCAAAGGAGGAATATCCCAACCGTGAAGTTCAGTATTTACTGAGCCAAGGACAACAGACATACAGTATATTCATTAGATAACATGTTTGAAGGCACCAATAAAGGCACAGAAGAAAAGAATACATGTAATACACACTTTCAAGTTATTTGCAGTAAAAGGCATTACTTTTTTGAGAGATATTTGGAAAGTCACCATCCACCTCTCTGTCACCAAATGAGAAAAAATCTAATTGCATTTTCTGTTATGCTTGAATTGGTCCTACCACACCCTCTTTGCAGTCATCCGTAGTCCCTCTCTGCTTCATTCCCACCCTGTTCCACAGGAATTTTATTTTCACTGGATTTTTATTCATAAGCTTTTAAAGATAGAAAATGCTCTAAACCAAATTATTTCATGGGGGGAAAAAATAAAGTTGTAGTCATATTTATCTGTTTTACATAATGCCTAGGAGCACTGGCAGTAGACCAGGCCCCTTTCTGCTAGACCTTCTACAGACACAGAACAAAGAAATTTTTTTTCTTTTATCCAATTTCTCTATATTCTAAGAGAACTAACTGAAGCATATATTCTTAATGCAAGACTATGCTCTCTTGGCATGCAGCTTGGCACTCTGCAAGAGAGGAACCCTTGTTGTAGATCCCATTTTTGTAGGAAAGAATGGAGACAAAATCTAAAATCATGGTTCCCAGGAAGCACAAGAAAGTCCATTCTGGGAGGAGGAAAAGGGCAACCTCTTTAATAAAAGACCACAGTCTTTGTTTTTAAGAAAGCAGAGGCTTCTCCTTTTAAATAATCCTTTTAGTGAGAAGCTTTTCTCCATTTGAAATGGTTTAGCTTGAAACATGTCCATCAGGCCTACAGAAGCCACATTGTGCTACTGCTGTGTCTTTCGGTTCTCTGTAAGATTTTCTGTTCCCAGTTCTTGTCTCACTCACCAAATTCTCCTTCTGCCCAGTTTGCAACTGTCCATCTCAAATTTACAGTCGTCTACAAATACCAAGTTCAGTACCTTGCCTTCAGGCCACCCCTTGTCAGTGTTCAGTCATTCCCGTTGCATGACAGATGTGCTGCCACACTGAAGCAGAAGCAGCCATGTTAAAGAAAAGCCAAAGAAAAATGCTGTTTCTCTCTCTCTTTTACTCCGGTGAGCTAACCACTGGGCTGTTTAGAAATCTGCTAATGTGCATGTTGCATTTTACATTTTATGTCTCTTTTATACAAAGTCATTGTTATACTGATTTGTAGAGATTTCAGTGTAAATCTTTGGAAAGAAATTGGCCTGCAGTTGTTGGAGTAGAATTTTCTCAACTTTTCAGCAATTGCACTTCCTCCATGTGATTCACAGTCCATTTGTCTGAACAGAAGCCAGAATACCAACAGAATATAGTTGGTATTATGTTTATTCTAGTATGAACTATGATCTGAGGTACATCCAAACTAATGGAATCATAAACTCAATATTGTCTGCAAACATGTGCTGTAATAAAGATTTGTGACCGGTGCCATTAACATTCAACATTTACTATTCCCAGTACTTAAAATTGGTATCTGATTCCAGGAAAAACAATATTGTGGCATGCCTATGATATTAACAAGCTTTTTAAAGGAACCCCAAGTCCTTTCAGTAATTCCAAAAAAAAGATAGTCATGATGCCTCCTGACCCAGAGCTAATTAAAAGGCAGTCATATGTTTGCACAAAACCTTGCACGGCAGCTCTGTTCCATGAACATTGTCCATAGTTGCTGCCACAGTACTTCTGCTAACCACTCCTACTAATTATCCCATATTGTAAGGCTAGTTACAATCCAGAAACAGTTATCAGAAAACTATCTGCAATTGTATTGCATTTGTGTGTCTTTTTAGATAAAAATAATTCGAACGAAGCAAGAAGGAAACCTTATAGTAGATGATGTTTCAAACAGGACTGTTAGCCCCAAGAAGGCCGATATATTGGATGTTGTAGGAATGCTGTATGTTGGAGGATTGCCTGTCAACTACACAACTAGAAGAATTGGACCAGTAAGCAAATTTAATTGTTATCCTACACTCCTTAAGTATGTCTTTATTAGTACCAATGTCTTCCCAGCTTTGTTTTGTTTTGTTTTGCTTTTCCCCCAGACTGCTCAAGAATATTGATAAAATGAATCTCACTGGAGGTACACTAAATTCTTTCAGTGGAAGGATCTGACTCAGAATCCAGTTAAGGCAAAGAACTAGAAATAGCAGAGTTAGTTACTGTTATGGAAAAGTAGAAAGATCCATACACTTGTATCCACTTGGACCACTGCGCAGCTAGAGTATAATGTCCTGAATACTACTTGCCCTTTCTCTTGGCTGTAATTCATTTAGCAGTAAGTTCTAATAAACAGTGAAAGTATGTCCTAAGAGGCAGTAGAAGCCAAAATTACCCTGGACAAAGTACAGCTGCTTAATGTAATAATTGGTTTTGTGTTGTTATTACTAAGCTAGGAGAGAATGTATTTTGAAGTAAGGCCATGAAAACTCTGTAGTCCTCTTTCTGTTTCCAAATCAAATGTGCACATTTCAACTTATCACAGTCTAAATGCCCAGCTTCCATGCTGCCACAGAAAATACCTTGGCAAACAGAGAGCCCAGAGAGGTGAATATCAGTTTGGCCTAAACCTTGTAGGATTAACTAGGCACACTGTATTCCTTCACTCAGGCCGTTTATTGCATCTAACTGCACAAGTCCATGTCAGTCATCTCACTTTCTTGCTGCCCTCCCAGCCCCCCCAACATATGCCAGTATCAGAAGCTGAGAAAACCTCTTCCCTGCATTATTTTTTCTCTGTATAGTGGGGTCTTTCAAAGCAGAAGCCAGAACTTGAGGGAATTTAATAATAGGAAAAAACAGATTAGGCATATAGTGCAGCACAATGTGGACAAAAAACTGGAATGTCAGTAGCAGCTATGTCTGGGCTCATTCTGGGTGAATCAGTAAAGAATCAGTAAAGGGGAGGCAAAAGCACAGATCCTAGCAAGGAAACAAACCAGGCTCTCAAAGACACTGCACATGAGTAAATACCATTCTAGTAAGATGATGATGGAATGGTGAACACTAGTATATAGACAGGCAAAAGTCCATCAATTCAGGTGGACCAAATAAATACAGAAAAAGAATCCCTAGATCCTGCTTAAACAGGTCACTATAATAATGCATACATTGGGAATAAAGGGGAAGAATAACCACTCATAATCCGAGAGTTGTGTTCCATAAAGAAAACTGACTGTAAGATCATATTTCTTAACAAATTTTGGATTGTGCAGAAAGACCAAATTGAGGCAAATCTACTGATCATTTGGATTTGCCAAACCAGATCTGAGGCACTGAAAAACAAAAGCAATACAGAATCACAGAATCACAGAATAGTAGGGGTTGGAAGGGACCTCTGTGGGTCATCTAGTCCAACCCTCCTGCCAAAGCAGGGTCACCTACAGCAGGCTGCAGAGGACCACGTCCAGGCGGGTCTTGAATATCTCCAGAGAAGGAGACTCCACAACCTCCCTGGGCAGCCTGTTCCAGTGCTCCGTCACCCTCAGAGGGAAGAAGTTCTTCCTCATGTTCAGCTGGAACTTCCTGTGCCTCAGTTTGTGCCCATTGCCCCTTGTCCTGTCACTGGGCACCACTGAAAAGAGCCCCATCCTCCTGACACCCACCCTTCAGAAATACTTCAGTACCCACAAAATATAATCCCTAACACTATCAAATGGTGCTCTTTGAAATACATCTGCAATTTGCAAATACTAATCTAAGGAGAAAGGTAACATTAAATCCTTAACTATTGCTCCTTGTCAGAAGTAATGGAGGGAACCCATGCAGATAAACGGCTCAGTCTGGCAGTAACAGTCATGTCAGATCCTGACAGTCTTATGTGCTTTGGGATTTAAATGAAGCTGTGACTTCAAATGTCATTCACAGAAGGTAAAAACCAGTGCTTGTCTTTCAGTCATTCTCAGTAAAATACACCACATGATGTATTAATAGAGTGTTGTGTTGTAGGCTTCATGTAAAGGCTCTGAAGCAAAGTAAGTTGAAATGATGTATTATCTTAGGGCTCTCTGCTAAACACACATCAACCTTTTTAGACACTAATCTAATACGTACCTGTAGGTGGGCCGGGTTCCTCTTCAGTGCAGAAGACTGATACCTACTTGTTTGGCTTCAGCAGATGCCACATTTTAAGCACTCAAAACTCTGCTTTCAGCAAAAGATGTTATATTGCCTGTTACCATGCTTTTGTACCATGTTTCCACAGGGAAAGTGAAATTTTGAAGTTAGAGACCTACAGATCTTGCATTTCTGTGATTTATTCTCACAGTGAAGATTGCATGATTTGTTTTCTTTTGTGGCATTTTCCTTCTTTGGTAACACAACTTGTTACTTGATCGGGAGTTGACCTGGAGATGACTTTCACTTCAAAATTAGAAAAAGGTCTATATATGAATATGCTGACAGAAAGTATTGCTCAGTTCAGAACTGAATTTATTAACTGACATTGGTCAAGTTCTCATGAAAACTTTGTACAGGTGTATTTAGCAGTAATAAGCTATGTAATTCCACAGTATATCCAGCTTCAATTTACAAGGAAATAAACTTGTTGGAAATTCTTTCAAATTACTAGTCAGGATACTGTTAGAGGAGATGGTGTGCAGAGTCAAGTCTTCCCTCTGCAGGTGTGCTTTTCTCCTTTCTGTATTTATACATATTTCTACACTGTATTTTGTACACTGATTTTTTTTTCTTCCTTCCTACTTCATTGCTTATGAATATGTCTCCATTTTCTTCCTCAAAGTACGTTTATCATTTTCCTCTCTCCCACTGATATCAGGGGTAAATTTTCCTAACTCTAAGTCAAAGATCAAAGCCTTTGTCTAAAGCTGAGAACCAAAATGCAGCCACTGCACACCTCAGAGAGAAAAGGGAGAGGGCGCTCTGGGAGTAGTTCACAGCGGGGCAGATATCCCACTGAGATGCGCTGACCACACAGCTCAGCCCCGGGGCAGCCTGGAGTGCAGCCTGGGCAGCCCCTCACTCCTGCCCCGGGGACCTCATGTACTTGCACCAGCAGCTGAAGCATGCGTGGCACCCGCTCGGTCACAGTAAGATGCTCCCAGCGCAGAAGCCAAACTGGAGTTGCAGTTTGCTACCCTGCACGGGAGCCTCCACACACCCAAGCATGTCCCCGGCCTCCACCTGCCTCTCTGGCCAACGGAGGGTGGCCCTGGGCACTGTGGTCACCAGTCCTACACACGGTTATTATACAAAGAACTATGTACAGGCAGCAACCTTTACGTAGGGGCTCTGTTCATTTTAGTAGCTGCGTACCTGCATTAGGTCTGTCTTACCATGCAACATTAGGCCCACAGTAAAGTGATTAAAGGGAAAGGGAAAAGAAAAAAAAAAGCCCTAGCGAAATTACTAGCAGCCCAGAGAACCATATCCAGTATCTTCATCTACTTGAAAACCCCATAACCTAGTCAATTAAGAAGGTAAAGTATAGGCCATTAAATTCCTGCATTCCTGATGTAATTTGCTATGTTTCATTATGCAGTGTATTATTTTATGCCCCCTCCATTAAGGCAAATAGATGTGACTCAGATCACATCACTGAAAAGTAATGTAATTCATCCTCAGTGTGGCTGAGATTAGATTCCAATTACAATTAGATATTAAGGATTAGCTATGTAAAATTCAAGTTTTATTCAGCTCCATAGATCCAGCAGAAAGGCAGAGGAAAGGTACTTTTTGATGATATACTTTAGGCCTTTATTCTGAGCATTTCAGCTTGCTTTTCACAGTTACACATTTTCTTTGAAATATTGACTGCAGGTCACCTATAGCATCAATGGCTGCATCAGAAGTTTTGAAATGACAGAATCACCTGTTGACCTGGATAATCCAACTTCCAGCTTCAATGTTGGAAAATGCTTTGTCACTGCACAGAAAGGAACCTACTTCGATGGAACAGGCTTTGCCAAAACAGGTAATGAACATCAATTCCGCTGGCAGGCAAAGAGCAGAGAAAGAGGAGATGCTGTTTTGAAAAACTTCCAGTGCTACCTGTTGACTGGCAGCAAAGCGAGACCAATACTTGAAACTCTCGCTGGTCATTTCCAGTTATCTTGCCTAAGGATAGACTGTATAACTTTCTAGCAAGGTCTCACATTGAGCACAGGCACTGTAAGAGTTACTTCCACGATTTCACATGAAATGGAGTGCATTAATAATGCTGAGTTAGTTACCTTGCATTACTGGCAACACACTTTGTGTGATTATTAGGAATAATGTATTAAATGCTTTTCTTCATTTTATTACGATTCCCCTTTTCTCTCCAAGTTGGTGCATACAAAGTGGGAACAGACCTGCTTGTGGAATTTGAATTCCGTACAACACGAATGAATGGTGTTCTCCTAGGAGTCAGCAGCCAGAAAATGGATGGCCTTGGCATCGAATTAGTAGACGGAAAAGTAAGTAGCAAAGCATTTTTGGCTCTTTGTAGAGACTGGTTTTAAAAAAACACAGGTAGTTTAAATGCAAGCACCGATCTCAAGACGTCTCAGTCAACATCAGGGCTCTCCTTTATGCAGCACTTGCCACTTCCCATACATCAAGAGGCTCTTACACTTTTACAAAATTACTTTAAAAGAGTCTGACACAATTGAGTTTCCTAAAACTGCAACATCGGGACTTAAATTATTGAGAAAGTGAAAAGTTTTGAGGAATGGTTTTATCACTAATAATACTAGTTTCTTGTGTATATCTTTTATTTCCCAATCTGGTAAACCAGTCAGTAGTCTATCACTATAAAGAGCTGATTTTTCAGGGGGCTCCCAAAAACTAAGGTAAAAGTTGAAAAATGACAACCTATACAACAATTTTGCGTATTTCCACTAATGTTTATCTCAGTGACATAAACCAGACCCCAGGGAGACTATTCAGAGAGACAGCAGTCCACACAGTCTGGTATTAAATCAGAGCTTTAGTGTATGCAGTCAGATCATGTTGATTTAAATAAACAAAAGCACAACAAAAATAAGAATTATAGAACTGTTTTGAGAAATACCTGATTTCTACGTCACACTTTTCAGGTGATGTTTCACGTCGACAATGGTGCAGGCCGATTCTCTGCTATCTATGAGCCCGATGCACCAGGCAGCTTGTGTGATGGGCAGTGGCACAAGGTTCTTGCGAGCAAAATCAAACACCGTTTAGAGCTGACTGTGGATGACAGACAGGTGGATGGTAGCAGCCCAAACAGGGCCTCAACCTCAGCAGACACCAACGACCCTGTCTTTGTCGGAGGATATCCTGGTGAGCATTCAACTTACAAATGGTGCTTTACTTGTGCTCTAGCAATGCTACCTTGGTAATGTCTTAAATCATAAAATTGGGACTAATATGTTAAAGTTGATGGATAAGACTAAGTTTGTATCAATTGGCATGGATGCTCATTTCTGCATCCAGCTGCATTTCAGAACCAGAAGTTCTGCAGCACCAAGGGACTCTCATAGATGCCCCTGCCACCTGGTCTCAAAGGTAGGCACTGTCACAGAGGAGCAGACAGACTTTCTGCCTTCTGCTACCCACACACACACACAGCCTCCCTCTTAAAACTTTATGTTTAGTAACAGCATAATAGTTACGTTTGAACAGTAACAGCATTTGGTAAATTTAAATTTAACTAAAGAATGCACATATGCCTTTGGGGGGACATGGCACTGCGTACATGTAAATCAGCTTGTAAAAACTGAGGAACTGAGGAATGTGGACAACAGTTTGCCCAGAGAGGTGAGAGAACACCATCTCTTTCTGATTAATGTCTTTGCTCATGGTCTGCTGTTTTTTAAAGGAAAAAAAAAAATCAAAATTTGCTACTCAGTATTCTGAAGTCCTCGAGAGAACTTGCTTCAGGCAGAGGTGATTGAACCAGATTCAGAACTGGGCTGAGCTCTGTACCTAGCTTCATCTTCCACTAAGCTGATAATGAACGCTAGTATTCATCTGTTCATCAACAAGTTTATCTAATAGCACTTTCTGAAAACATAGTGAAGATGCTTGCAAGGTACAAATTTTGTTGCATTCATAATGAAGTTTTACTCTAGTTCACAAACAAAAAAGCTAAGTATGTTTGCAGTATGTGTCTGCTCTAGTGCACACGGAGGTCAACAGCAAGATGCCTCTTGATTTTCTGGAAGTTGTTTCTCCCCCCATTCTAATGTGTGATACAGTGCATCCAAAAAGCCTTCTCTCTCAAACTTCAGGACATTTTCAAAAATGTTCTTGATACTGAAATACAAGAGTTCTATTTCAGTCACAGTGACTATTGATAAGGACCAACAACTTTGTGCCAGAAGGAAAACAGCTTTGTGGCAGCCTTTTTATAACAAAACAGGATTCTAGCATAGGAGCTAGTACTAAAGAAACACTGCAGATGGAGTTACCATCTCATTCTGGACTGTTTGTCAAGAGGAACATAGCAGGAGAAACAAATGGAAGTAACACCGCAATCTATAGAAAACAAGTGATATTCCTGAGGTCAGCCACGTGGCAAGTTATGAAATTATTTAATAAACCTACATGCATATTTAGACACCTCACACTTCTCTTGCTGTCTAGTCTAGCTCATCCAAGATTTGTTTTAACATTCCCCATACCTAGACATCCTCATCACAAATTTAAAACACAGTATCACGGGATTTTGTAAAATTAGTAAGAGTTTGTATTTTCCAGTCCTCTTGAGGTTTCTCCTGGCTGCACAAACAGTACAAAACAGTTGCAAACCAGCTCGACTTAGCTAGTGGAGAATTTCCTGTGCAGACAAACTTTTCGCCACCAGAGCATAGGCAAGGATATAAAATTCCTGGCTACCCATAAAAGCCATTACTCATCACCTGCTATCACTGTTCCCGGTGCATGGAGAGACAGATGGATTCACGCATGTCATCCTTTGTGAAACAGCATAATGCTACGGCCAGTCAGTCTTCTACGGGTGTAAAGTTATTTCTGCAACCCTTACTTTATTAGTCACATAGATTTGTATTGGAGTGCATCCCTGTAGACACTTTTTCGCTTGGAAGAACACTGAGAAACAAGTTGGGCCATGAATTTCAAGCAATTGAGAGAAATATTTCCAGCCTCCCAGTCAAACCAACCTTCACTTCTATCATCTGTCACACTAGAATAGTTCCCTCCTTCTTTAGTGGAAGAGATGTGCTCAAATCCCTGCCTATACTATCACCATGAAAAAAAAAAATATCAGAATGCTTGATAACTCTCAAACTCGTTCCTTAAATGACACCTGAAGTGCATAGTGAGGAACTGGCTTTCTCATGATGTTACGGCCAAGAACTGCAGCCATTTGGGTCTTTTTTTTTTTTCTTTGTTGTTATTCTGTGGATAAATAGCTTGAGAAGTGGAGATCTGCAGGATGAGCATGTGTGCATCATACACCATTTGTAGGGAGCAAGCTGCCATTTGGCCATGTTCCTTAATTTCCTCTGTGTCACAGAACTGACTTATGTGCTGTACAATGGTAGTTTAACTGTGTTCAGATTCTGCCACTGTCATGCCAGGATGGAAAGATGGCTGGATTGTTACCACTAACATAAGTACTTATAACAGTCACTCATAATGTTTGTCATTTTTTGACTAAAGATATACAGCAAATAAAACATATTCATATATTGCTGCGGACATCTATTCTCCTGCAGGACCCTCAAAGAACAAACTTCAGTATCAACACAGATTTACATAATTCCTTTTGCCTTTTTTCTCCCTCCTTCAGATGGCGTGACCCAGTTTGGGCTGACCACTAATATCCGTTTTAAAGGATGTATTCGATTTCTGAAGCTCACCAAGGGTACTGCTAAACCTCAAGAGATCAACTTCAGCAAAGCTCTGGAGCTGAAGGGAGTTCAACCGCTGTCATGCCCTGCAAACTAGCTGTCATTCAACTGACATGGTTCTGTTTATATAAGCACCTCAGATTAAAAAAAGAAAAAAAAAACTATATATACATTGCATTCATAATAAAATACCTTATGCAAGTATTTGAGTAGTGTTTGTGGTATATTCAAATTGCTATTTCAAAATACCTCCCAAGAATGCAAGAACTAATCCTTTCTCCCCAGTCCCTTCATTGAGTGAGTAGAACAATAATTTTTATCTGTTTCCTTATAGCTTGAAATGGAGATGTTTCATCATTCTTCTGATGAGTGAGACCACATATTCTGCAGCGTGTTCCTTTGCTACAGAAATTAGAATCACAGAATATCTCAAGTTGGAAGGGACCCATAAGGATTACCAAGTCCAGCTCCCCAAAATGCTCCCTGAATACTTTGGTGAGGTAGATCTGTAAACTTGTGGTCCTTTACCATTCTAAATACAGTGCAGCTGTGTGTGTGCACACCTCTGTCTCTCATTAGGAACAGGCTTATTACCTTGCTTAAATCACTCCCAAGAGCTTTTAGAATTTTTTTCCAACCATAGTATTTCCCATTAAAATTTCACCGAGAAAGTCAAAATTTTGTGTAGTCTACATGGTTGCTGTCATGCTATAGCCACGGAACCAAGTACAGGGGAGGAAAATGATTTATTTGGGATTGTTGAAGATTGGGATTGTTGCACCTAAAATCCCTGCTATGCCATTTGAACAGCACTGGATTTTAGCAGAGGTTATGTTGTTTGACATTGGCAGACGCAGCCTGTAAGGGAAGCAGTAGAACCAGGTTCTATCACTTACCTAGAAATACAGTTTTAAGTGATCCTTAACAAATAAAGTTTGATACTGCTCCTCTCTTCAAATACACTCCAAATATTAAAGTTACCCATAGCAAAATTCACAAGCCAAGTTTCTAAAGGAAGATGAAATCTGACGTTACTGCATTGGAGCAGAATGGAGGTGAAGCAGGAGAATCCCAGAGATCATTAGCATGGCATATGCCGCTAATCTCTACTGTCATCTATTTAATTAAATCCTTAAGGTAAAAACAGCTTCCAAAGTTCGACTCTACTGCTTCTGCTTGGTGCTGTCAGTTTGTGAGGAATTCTGAATGCAGAAGCCACCTTGAATCTTCCTTAAACAAAATTTCTAGTGCTCTGTGGATAGCAGTTTAAGCATAGATGGAGAGAGGAAAGTTGCTTCCTAGACTCTCACTAAAAACGCCAAATCCTGGTGATTTTCCTCAGTGCTTTGTATGTTTTAGAGGACTATGAAATCATCACCAAAGCATGGATTATCTTTTCTATGGATCGTTTCAAATTGTTAAACTCTACTTTTGCAAAGGTTATGCTTGGACATGCAGAACATCTACTGTACAAATGTAAAAACAACTACCTACACAAAAGAGAAGAAGAAAAAAAAACTACCCGTAAGGTAGCACAACCACACAATTAAAAGGGGTTTTTTTTAATTATTTTTTTCTGCCCACAGTGAGCCTTGAATACACTTTTACAGAATTTCTGAGATGACTAAAAGAAGGGTAGCCGCAACATTTTTACATAGGCTAGCTGCAAAACTCGTTCTGCCAGAGAGCCCTCCTCCAGGAGTGCTTTGGATTTTACAAAAGGCCTCTCTGGCAGAAAACGTTTCTCTAAACTACCATGGAAAAAAACACCTTTACACTGGGAAACCACCTTAAAGAGGTGGTAATAAATATGTATATTGCCACTCTAACGATTTTGGGAGTCCAACATTCATCAGGTACACCTGAAGAATCTAGCTGCAGTGAAGCCCCGAAGTAACTGACTTCAGCAAATATGCTACTTTTCACTTGCAACTGGCCCTTTAACGTTAGCAGTTGATGGCTGTGCAATGGTATGCACATTCAAAGTGCTAAGAATTAGTAAAGCATGCCTTTGTCTCTGAAAAAAAACTAATTATGGGACACATACTGCCACCTTCTAGTGCGACTAACAAACACACTGTAAAACATTCATGTTTCTATCTGATTCTTTTTATGTGTCTTGTATTTACCTACTCTCATCCCTATAATATTTCAGGATAATTTGAGTAGCTAAAGAAAAATACACCTTAACTCTTCGAATACAGTTGAATATTTCCAAAATTCTTGAAAAATACGAACAAATGAAGCCCCAATACTTTTCCACAGAGGGATGTATGGTATCTCACAACACACAGAACAGCCACGCCACTTGGCCCATTACACTCCCAGGCATTACCTAGTGTAGAGACATATTTCCTAGACTCTAGGTTATATTCAGCATATCGGATTCGTTTTAACCTAAACTTGCTTGCAAAGTTTTTTGGTTTTATTTTTTTTTAGACTTGAAGACACAGGGGAAATTGAAACAATGGAGACTAGAATGCCACGAGTTAATACTGCGCTCTGCCTCAGAGGCAGGAAACTGCCACTGCTCTGCTCCGTGTTGCATCAGCAATGGTCTTTCACATAAAGATGTCTTTGCCTTAGAAACAAATACTGGAGTTTCTAAATAAAAGAAATAGAAAGGAAAAAAAAAAAAAAAAACAAAACCCAAGAGGCCTTTATGTTCTTTGCTCTGTGGAATTATTTCTCCCTTGTATGGCCTTCCAGGAATGTGTGGGACAGAGCAAAAACAATGAAGCAATGCATGTTATATTACATCTCTTGAACTTTCACGTGGAAAGTATCAACCAGCTGCTGTCCTCTGCTAAAGGAAATAAAGTCAGTAGGCTGAAACAACAGCTACTTCAGCAACTAGCCAAGCTAAAAGGAAACAATAAAAACTGCCCAATTTTTTTCGAAGATCACTGAGTGGATGCACCAAGTACTGTTAGTAAAGCTCTCTGCCTTCGAAGATTCAGCAGAGCATCTGCGAATGATCTGGGAATGATCCAAGCTCCCTATTATTACCTTTTGCCACACAACAGATTCATAGACAAGATTTCCTGAAAATAGCAGGTTGTGAGCCTTAAAGCCATGTGCAAACTGCCAGAGATTACATCACTGCTGACTGTGCCAGGAGCAATGTAATTTCCCAACTCCAGACTGCAAACTAATAACGCATCTACAGAACACCAGTATTTGAACCCTTATTTTGGTGGATTTTTTGCAGAAGTTTTTACTGCCTTTTTTTTTGCACTCACATTGAATACTCTCCACTGCTAAACTTCAAAACTAAAAACTTCACATACACATGTTTTTAAAATTGTGTTTAAGATTGACCCTGTTGACTGAGGTCACTTTTAGGCATTTATGACAAATGTTCACTCTGAACAGGACAAATCCCTCTTCATCTCTAGCTTTAGGCAAACTGCTATGTATGAAAAAAGTTGTGCCTTCTATTTTAAATATAACCAGTTTTCAACTTAGAGTCTTTGTAAAGAGTAATTTACTTGTTCTTTCTATCAAATAGTACTTCCAGCTCTTTACAGAAGCTTGGAAAGTGAAAAACATTTTGCTGGATTAGTATGTTTTTTTGGAATGCACAAGAAAAACTTAAAATGCTTAAAAATCCAAACAATTTTTCCTGTCTCTCTTTTAACATAGAAACCACCAGGAAGGAATGCCAGTTCCAGCTTTCCCCCTGTTCAGCTATGGGGCTTCTAGGAGATCTCAGATGTATGCTGAGGGGTTTCTCAGTATGCGCAAGTAAGATATTTCACTGACCTGTTTCTGACCAACAAGAAGAGCACATGCCATACCCTTCATAAGATCACATATACTGAAGGACCCACAAAAGATCCCTATCCCCACATACGCACCAGTTTTTAAACCTTCAAAGAAGACCTTGCAATTTTCAGATAAGATCTTATGAAAGCCTATGAAACTCTTTTGAAAATGTCCTATGCAATGAAAAATGTTATTTTCAGAGCAATTCAATGAGATGCTATAGCTAGGCCACTGGATTTTCAACCCAAGATATTTTCTTCCATTCTGTCATCTGAATTTCCTAATGACAAAACCCTACCAGTTCTTTAGTCATCCATCAAGTCTTCCAGCATACACATAAGCTGAACTTCTGGTGTAAATATGTAGGAAGAAATATCACTTTCACTGTTTTATGCTTCATAAATAGACACAAAACCATCCAGACCTTTCTTCAAAATAATTCCTTAAATATACTGCTGATGTGTCATGCAACGGAATTGAAACAAACCCCAAACCATTCAGTCTATACATTTCTATGCTGTTATTACTCATACTCGAGAGTACAAATCATTTCTTTAGGTACCTGAAGTCCCAGATAATTCCTGATATGATGCATATATTTCAACTCCAAAAAAAAACCCCTTTCTGTTTCAAGTTTAGTGGACAACATAGCATAAAATGACAGTACTTCAGAAACCAAAATATCTAATTTAAGCAAAGAAAGACAATCCTAGGGAAAAATCTCCCACAGTCAGTGCTCTTGGACACTTTTCATGCTCCCCTGGGACGAACATCTGAATCTTTAGCCCAAATTTAACAGTCTCACAATTTTCACTTCACTATGGAGCTACATATTTTGAAGAGAACTGCACAAAACTTTCCTAATGCTAGAGTCGCCTCCTTTTTCTCTTCTTTTTCAAAAGGATGATTGAGTACCAAATTGAACTGATGCTTTCTGCTTGCCCCGTCCTTATCTAACACTCTGTAATAACAACAATAATGAAACTAGATGTCTAGATTTTCAAAGACTAACTTTTATGATACAGAATTATGAAATATTCTGCAAATCTGAATAATCTGATGTGACATCTCCCCTTTTATTTTGACAACTTTGGTACTTCTAGTTGGCATGAGCAAGGAGGGATGACTGGCAGCTGAGGCCCTAGAGTAGCTACATTTTCTGTGGTTTTCTTCATTATGATTCTGTACTACAACATAACATGAATTTGGTTTAAACAGCCATAGGCCTCGCTCTGTCACTGAGTTTCATGTCAATAGACTGGCTCCCTGGGAGAGGAAAAACTGCTGCCTGCGCACCCACCTGTCTGCACTGGGGCATTAGGCACGTGGAGCAATGTAGGATCCTATGTCCCTCAGGGGTATGAGGTTAGGTGAAACGAAAATCAGGGCCCTTTCCTCCACAGCTTCAAACGATTTGTAGAATCTTCTTAA